GCCAAGGTAAGTGCACTGTCTTTGTGGCTGGGTTTTTGGTTGTAGCCGGGTTGGTCTAAGGCCATAGGCAGGCAAGGCTCTTTGGGTAGATGTGATATCTTTTATTAGACCAACTGAGTAGTTGAGGGGAAAAAGTTCTTTGCAAGCTTTCAGGCACAATTGCTCTTCTTCAAGCAGAGGAAGTCTCTGCTGTTCTGAAACTCCAAGGAATGAAAGAAACATTCCCTGGAGTCTCAGAACAGCAGAGACTTCCTATGCCTGAAGAGGGGTGATTGCACCCAAAAGCTTGCAAAGAACTTTTCCCCATCTACTGAGTTGGTCTAATAAAAGATATCACATCTACCCAAAGAACCTTGCCGTCTCTGTGGGGCACCAGGCCTGCTCTGGCTGTTCATTGGAAACTGGGAAATCTAGAAGTCGGGGGATCTCTTGATAGCAAGGTTTTGCAGAACCTGGTTTTTCTGAGGAGGATTAGGCTGGAGAAGTTTATGGGGAATGTCTGTTTAAGAAAAACGATTCTGAGATTTTGGGGGAAGTCAGGATGTCAGGGTTTGGGGGAGTCTGGCTCTGGAGAGTCTGTTCTCAGAGAAGGTTAGCTTGCAGATTTCTGAGGAGTCTCATTCTGTTTGTTTGTCTCTTTCTTCTTGTAAAAGAACCCTGGCTCCTTTTTAATGGTTCTGAGGAGGCCACTGATGATAACTGCTAGTAACACTCAGCATGGATCAGGTCTTTTACAACATTCACTAATACATCTGGCAAAGGAGCTGAGGGCTCAATGAGATGGTACCTGAGAGCTCACATGAGAAGATCTCTATTGCCATAAACACTGACAGGGGCAGAAGTGACCGCTAACACATTGCTGTACACCTTATAGGAGCTAGGGGCACCGGCCTGAGACTATTACTCTTTACTTCTCTTACACAGCATTGCACTTATCCCCTGGTACCTGAGGCTGCCTTGATAAGCAGAGCTGATGAGGCCATCCATTGCATCAGTCAGGGGAGCTCACGGATGCAAAAGTTATCCTGGGCTCTGAAGAAGCAGCATTCTCTACTGAGAAGCAGCATATCAAGGAGGGTGTGCATTAACTGCAAGTGCCTCAGTCTGTCAAGCAGGGTGGGGCACAGAGCACATCCTGTCTCTAAGATCAGATGTGGTGCGTGCTGCACCAACAGCTGCCGTAGAGGGGACTGAAAGTTCTCATCTTGCCTTTTAAACGTGGGGATTTGCCAGCCCCTGGATTCATCCCTACAATGCAGCTCTGAAGGAATTTTTGGTTCCATTTACCTATAAGGGGCAGGGTGCAGGTTCACAGAGCTGTTTAATCACAGAGTGAAATGAGGGCAGGCTTTGTGGCCCTAGAAAGACGGAAGGAAACAAAGGATCCCAGCTAAAAAGGGCCCTTTCAGACCACTCAGCAAACACCCGATCCCCCTTCCCCCAAGCCAGTGCTCCTGGGATGCAAAGTGGGCTCAGAACACAGCCCTGCCCCATCTATTCATGGATCCAGCAAGTAAAAGGTGACTACTTCAATTAAGAACACCTTCTCCCTTCCAGAGGAACACAATGTAGTTTGAGGAGCCTTCCAGGAGGAAGAAAAATGGACTGAAATCAAGCCCTTTGTTTCAGTCCATCTGAATATCTGGGGAGCAAGAGCAACTTGGGTACCCGGGAAAAGCTGGCATTGTTGGTCAAAGCTTAAAGTTCATAGACAAGCCCACATCTACCTGCTGCAACTAGGAGGAGTTTATCACCCTGGTGTCTAAAGCTTTAATCTGGAGAAATCCTTCAGCTTCACTTTTCTCATGAAAAAGATGAGGCATTCTGAGAGAGCCAAGTGCCAAAAGGAAACACCAAATATGTTAAAGAGCAGGCTCCTAGTGCCATCCAGAGCTTGAAAATGAAATGGCTGAAATAGGCATTATATACATCTCCATTAAAACTAGCTGCTACACGAGAAGAATGTTATGTCACTGGGGCTAATCCTATCTATATAAAGGGTGAAAGTGGACATCCTGGGAAATACAGATCAGAGAGCCTCACTTCCATCCAGGCAAACTAACTAAAATGAGAACAGATTATAGATCTACATGATCACATTACGGGGACAAACAACCAGAGCTTCTGTAAAACCTTTCCAATCAATAGCCTACTTTCAGAGTATTGGAAAAATAGTGCAGGTCAGCCTGGGGGGAAGGGTAAGAGAATGTGGTGGTGTCATTTACTCAGACTTTAAAAAAAACAACCTTTGACAAAGTCCCTCACAGGAGGCTGACAGGAAAACAATATAGTAAGAGAGTGAAAAGTAGAGTATTTTCATGGATTGCTTAGAAACCAGCTCGGAGACAGAAAACAAAGAGTACAGATAAATGATCAGTTTGTAGCATGGCAAAGGGACTCCCAAAATAATATATTAGAATGGCTGATGCATTTATTAATGATGTGAGGTAGAGGGAGGGCAGAGAAGTGTCATCATTTGTAGGTGATACACATTTTTTTACCATAGGTTCCTCAAGACTTGAGGAATCTGAAAAATTACAGAGCAGCCTTTTAAAGGCAGGTGACCAGGTAGCAGGAAGGCAGATAAAACTGACTTCTGACAAAGGCAGTGTTGCACTTTGGAAGCAATGACGCAGCGGAATTACACACATCGGTGAATTCTAAATGAACTGTCAACACGTAGGGAAAAAGGCCAAGGTGCCATTGCAGATAGCTCAGTAAAATCCTTGTTCACTTTGTAGTGCCAGGTAACAAAAGCAAATAGCTTTTAGTCTGCATTAACAATTGGATCTAAATCAGGGGCTTTCCCCCTCCTAGGGCACTGTGCTGTTTTGGAGTACCATATCCCAAAAGCATAGAATGGAAGCAGAAGATGTCTAACAAAACAACAAGGGGACAGAATCAGACTTCTGTGCGGAGACATGGAAATGATGAGGGCGTTTAATGTAGAGATGAGATAAATAAGACTGGACATGATGGAGGTGTACAGAATAATGCCTGTATAGAATAATGACAATGAACCCCTGGAACTCATTACTACAAGATAACATTGAGAGCAAGACCTTTGCAACATTTCCAAAAGCATAATAAGAACAATCTCAGAGATATTAGGCATGATTTAAGCATGTGCAGAGGAGATTTGAACTCTCCTGCTTCAGAATATGATCTAGCCATTAAATGATGAGGGTTAGAAAGGAACTTCCCCAGCCAAGGTTTATTCCATGATAGTCTATTACAAGGTTTCTTGCACTGGCTGTCAGAGACAGAGTATCAGACTGCGGGACATACTACTCCCAGTTCTCCTGTCAGCCAGTTCAACAGCTTGTGCTTTCCTCAGCTAACCCCCAACCCCTTCCTTTTATTTTTCTGTAAGAAAAAACGAACATGTAAAAATAAACTGCAAAATACTGCACAGACCTGTCAGTTCTGATTTATGCTGATGACAGCAAAGAGTATTCAAGAGTTTCATTGCTCTTGCACCATTGAAACCTTTTGCCAGCACTGCCAGCTCTGTAACTCCTCCTTGTTCCTAGTTATCAGTTACATTCCTCTACGTATGCCAGATGCCAGGAAAAGCCTTGCTTATGGGTGTGTAGGCTTTATGCCAGTGATTCTCAACTAGGGTGTTATGGCCATGTGAACCTTTTAAGGGTGTTGCAGGTTGCTGCATTGTATTAGCATTGTTTGGTTTGCCAGCATCTACACATACTACACCCAGACATTTCAAATAGGAATCCATAGCATCAGAACCACTCTGACCTGCTGGTCTTTCTGAGTACTGTGCACCAGAAGAATTGCTCTGTTATTTTTCTATTGTAAAAAGTGAAAGGAAAGAGCTGGTATTTTCCACAGGGTGCCTTGAGTCTATTGCATTCACAATTATCCTACCTGGGCAACAACTGTGTTCCTCTGTGCTTCAATGCCCAGTGTCGGCAGAAACAGGCAGCCGAAGTGCCCAAACCACAGCTGCTTATCTGTGCTGAGGAGCAGATGAACAGAACAGTTAATCCTTTTTATTTTTCAGGCAGAGCTGAGCCTCCTCTGCTAGATAATGTGGATGATAGTGCACACGCACCTAAAATCCTCTAGGGGTTGCTCTATGGCATGGATGGGCAATTACTTTGACTGGCAGGCCACTTAAAGAGTTTTGGTGAGCAGTCAAGGGTTGCACAATCTTCAGAAGATATAATTTTAACAAATTATACATAAACAATAAATCATATGCTAAAAATCAAACATCTACTATAACCTAATTATATTTTTAAAATATTTTTGTCCCGATTTATGTTTTTTTGAGTAGTGTATATAGAGGTGATTGCATAATAGCTCAAGATAATGTCTTACTCTCTTATATTGTGTGTGTGGGGAGGGGCATCGGGGGGTGTGTGGAGTGTGTGTGTGGAGGGAGGGGTGTGCATGTGTGCTAGGTCCTGGGAACTGGCCAGGGGTGGAGGGGCAGGGGGCGCATGCAGCAGAGCTCACCCGGGCAGTGCAGTGCACGCGCGGTCCATCGCTCCCCCCGTCTGACCCACGGCTGCCCCGTGGCACTCCACATGGGGCCAAGTCCTGCCTGGGGCAGCTTGTGCCATGCTCCTGCCTGCACCCACCCAGCACCCACTGACAGCACAGCCCTGGCCCCAGCCTCAGCCAGCATGCATAGCTTCCCAGTGGGGCTGCCTTCCACCCACTCAGCCATGCCCACAGGTGGCTGCTTAGCATGCAGGGCAGGAGGAATGGATGGAAGGTGGCTGGGAGCTGGAATTGGAGCAGAAGCTGCCCAGTT